AAAAAATTGCGGGAAACCAAGAAACTACCTGGAGAAACGTGTAGGGAATAACTTTATAAAATGCTTGATATAGCCAGTCAAGCAAACATAGATAATTTATCTAATTAAAGGGGCAGAAATGCTTTGGGTGTAACCAATTCCGTCACAAACGTTCAGAATGTCCGAGAATGAACGAACATACTACAAAAAAAAAACTAATATGAAAAGAAAAGTAAACTTAAACGGTGTTCCACTTTACGGATTGATTGATACAGGGAGTGATGTTTGCGTGCTGTAAAAACATCTTTTGAATAAAATCCGCCCACGTAATTTAATGACAGGCGCAAGTGTTTCTCTGAGCGGCATCGGATCAAATATCAAAACGGATGGATCATGTACAGCCGACGTAGATGGTGTTTGCTTTGAAGATGTAGAATTTCTAATAGTTGACAACAGTTTAATGAGTGCTGATTTGTTGATTGGAATGAGTCTGCTGAGTAAAGCTGTGGTGAGGATCGAACGTGGCAGAGTCAGCATACTTAAAAACGATTTAGAATCGGCACATCCACAAAGAGAGGCCGATTCAAAAGCTAACTGTTTCTTTGCCACAATGGATGAAAGCATTTTCAAGGAGAACCGTAAATTATTAGATTTTAACGTAACGAATTCTGAAGCGCGTGTTTCCATTGGAATTATAAAATCTATTATATTTTAAGACTTCCACCAAAATATTTTGGAAAAATATTAAGATTTACGTGAGCTGGACCGATTTGAAAATACCTCAAATAATGAAGTTTTTTATAAATACAAATAGTTAATTAAGGCTTAAAAAAAACGCCTAAAATGACCAAACGGTTTAAGCTAAACTTAACTTAAAATTTTTTTTTAAAGATTGGTCTAATACCAACTTGAATAACTGAACCTAAACTATTCCGTTTTTGACTTGTGAGGTATCATTGGAAAGGTATTTTGTCACCCTTTTTTCATGCAAAAGATGAAAGAGAAAGGAAGGATGAACGAGCGTCATTCCAAGTTGAATTAAGATGTGTTAGTGTTTGGAAAAAAAGGACATGAATGAGTTTTTTTTTTGCACAGAAATAAAAAGAGTGGGAAAATACTTTTCTACTGAGCACCCACAAGTATAAATCAGAATAGTTTTAGCCCAGATATGCAAGTTTTTCGTAAATCAAAAATTTCATTACTACGATTCTGTTGAAAAGATTTTTAAATATTTGTATGCAGATTTTTTAAGCTTAATATGTTTTGTCATCTGAGGGGATTTTTTTCAAAAAGTTCTTTAAGAAACTGTTTTTTATGCATAAAAAAGTCCATTTTTGGAGGTATTTTCTAAATATTTGGAGGTATTTTTTTAATATTTGGAGGGATTTTCTTAAAATTTTTCCGAAATATTTTGGTGGACGTCTCCAAATTTAATAAATTTTTTAATCCCGGCAGAAAATACGCAACTTTTTTTGGTGATGCAGTCTAATGTACATATGTATGTACTATATATGCAACACAGGCAAATGCTTTTCGGTTGGAACGAGTACACAAAAAAAAACGCCTAAAATGACCAAACGGTTTAAGCTAAAAAATTTGCATAAAAATATTTAAAAAAAGGCGTGAGTACTAGGTACTCATGAAATTTGATGTGTATACATATGCGAACGGCAAAGCATAAAAGTACGTTTACATATAAATATAATCTCAATCAAAGCTCCTTAGCTGTCAAATTGGTTGTGCTTGTTATTCACACAACTCGAGGAAAAGTTAAACTTCTTCTCTGTGCCACCGTGGTCACTTTTCTTTTGCAACACATATTAGGCCATTTAAATATATTTTAACTAAATATTTTATTAAAAATACCTTTACAAACCTATTTTCCTTACTAGCGTCAATTTTTGTTTACTTTCTCTCTCTTCGCAAGTATAATCGACAAAACTGGGTTGGACACCAAAAAGTTATCGGTTTAATCTGAGATATTTTAAATTATAATTTTGCATGGCTAATCTGTTTTTCTAATAACAGATTAGGGAGTCAAGCTCGAAAATTAGGATAATATTTTTATATATAAAAGCGATTCAGCTACACACATACAAATGTAGGTTAGGTTAGAAATTAAACATTAATTTCACTTAATTTTATTCATTTTGCTGATTTAATTTTTTTATTCATTTTCAGTTTTAATTCTTTTAATACATGACATTATCGGTATGATTGATAAAATATACTTGTATATACTTGTGACTCAAGGGCGTTAAAATATCTTGGAAACACCGCATATAGGCAGATTTTCAAGTTTTATGCGGCAAAAAATATTTTATTGCCTCTATCTACTCAAAATTGTTTATCAAATGTAAAATTGAAATAATTTGTATTACAGATAGGTTATATTAATAAAATATATATATTGGCCAATAATCTACTATTTAAATATATTGACTACCTTTATTTATAAAATGTGTGTACACTATCATTGGTTAATTAGTTTTCGCTTTCAGAATCTTCGCTGACCTCAAACTATTCCTTTGTCACATCTTTGACAACGGATTTAGAGGGTAACAGCAGGTTTATTGTGTCTGGGGAAAACGATTTGATATTTTTTCTTTTTTTGGTCATGAACCGAAATACTGCTTAAAAACGAGTCCGAGCTCACCAACAGCTGGTTATATATGTCACGGTTACATACTTCACGAGAAAACTTCCGGGAATAATTTTCTCGGTAGTGTTTGTTGTGGGCCTCTTGAGCCTCCCCGATAATTGTCCTATTGTTAATAAGGAATTAGTATCTTGTGCATTGTGGGTGTCATAGGATGCCATGCCGTCGGCGATTCGCCACTTCTCGCTCGCTATGTTTGAGTTCCGGTCGCTTAACGAAAAATTTTGCATGTGAAAACAACAACAAAGTTAGCTAGCACGGATAGATGATAGCAAGTTTGGTTGTACCTCATTGAGTTCGTTCGTTTCGCCACTTGCTAACTGATGGCGAATCGATGACGGCTAATAATCAATTGTAGCGCATTTCCTCTTACTATGCATATGCCTAAATGTATGAACCATTTGGCAAGCGAACACAGGGCGCTTCTAATGAAAATAAAAATTTTATGCTGAAATACACATGCTAAGCCCTTCGAAATTTTGTGCTGGGATATGCGTTACAGCTTCGCAAATTTTACCCCTACCGAAACCAAAGATGTATACACATCAAACATTTTCAACGGAATCGTAATAATGAGATTTTTGGTGCTGTTTTTTTTAGCTTTTTTTTTAAAGATTGGTCTAATACCAACATGAATAACTGAACCTAAACTATTCCGTTTTTGGCTTGTGAGGTATCATTGGAAAGGTATTTTGTCTCCCTTTTTTCATGAAAAAGATGAAAGAGAAAGGTAGGACGAACGAGCGTCATTCCAAGTTGAATTAAGATGTGTTAGTGTTTGGAAAAAAGGGACATGAATGAGTTTTTTTTTGCACAGAAATAAAAAGAGTGGGAAAATACTTTTCTACTGAGCTCCCACAAGTATAAATCAGAATAGTTTTAGCCCAGATATGCAAGTTTTTCGTAAATCAAAAATCTCATTACTACGATTCTGTTGAAAAGATTTTTAAATATTTGTATGCAGATTTTTTAAGCTTAATATGTTTTGTCATCTGAGGGGATTTTTTTTCAAAAAGTTCTTTAAGAAACTGTTTTTATGCATAAAAAAGTCCATTTTTGGAGGTATTTTCTAAATATTTGGAGGTATTTTTTTAATATTTGGAGGGATTTTCTTAAAATTTTTCCGAAATATTTTGGTGGACGTCTTCAAATTTAATAAATTTTTTAATCCCGGCAGAAAATCCGCAACTTTTTTTGGTGATGCAGTCTAATGTACATATGTATGTACTATATATGCAACACAGGCAAATGCTTTTCGGTTGGAACGAGTGTGGGAATGTGCACAAATACATATGTTTATCGTCACCTAAGGGTGAAAAGGTGCCAAGTCCATTTTTTGAAATTGGTTTCGTATTACCTGCCATTCTGCATCAAAAACCAAATTTTAGAAAAAAGAATGGGCTTGGTACCTTTTCATCTTTAGGTAGCGATGTGAATTATGGTGGTAATATATACAAACATATAAATTACATACATGGGCGTAGCCAGAACGAAATTTAGGGAGGGAGCCTATACATTTTTT